TCTAAGAAGGAGAACATTGTAGGGTACCTTATTTTGGTAAGCTAATTGAATTATTTTTCTCACCATTAAACATCTTTGGAAAACCTCAGACCTTGTCCTCAACTGCTGCAGCATGTTGTGGTTGAAGCAGGTGTTACAGTGAGCACGAAGGGCCACTCTTCCTCCTTCCCAGCTGCTGAGGAACAGCACCCAATGGTGGGACTGAAAGCCTTCCAGCAGGCTGATGGCTGTGCCACCCTTAGGAAACTGAAAAACAGCCAGGTCAGATGGGACAAACTACTCCATAAAATGTAGACGTTTTCAGAGGTATTTTATAGTGAGCCTGTGACAAATCTGTAGGACTATCATTGTTACAGTTGGTGTTACAGCCAGGTTCCACCCCTTCCGATCATACAGCTGAATTGCCTTCACCTGTGCTTCCATGGCTGACTCAGTGCTTGTCTCAGGTGATCAATCAGTGGTTCAGGCCATGTCTCAACAGTTCCCATACAATCATAGAATCATAGAATCACCAAGGGAAGAAAAGACCTCCAAGATCATCCAGTCCAATTGTTCATCTACAGCAATATTTCTGCACAAAACTATGTTCCTTAATAAAACATCAAAATGTTTCTTGAGCACCTCCAGGGACAATTGTGCACCTCCCCCCTGGGCAGCCTGTTCCATGATCTACCCACTCTTTCAGAGAAGAAATTTTTCCTAACATCCAATCTGAATCTCCCCTGGTGCAACTTGAGACAATTTCCTTGCTAGTAATGTGGGGGAAGAGGCTGACCACAATGTCCTTTCAGGTAGCTGTAGAGAGTGACAAGGTATCCCCTGAGCTGCTTCTTCTCCAGACTGAACTACTCCCATTCCCTCAGCTGATTCTCATAAGACTTGTGCTCCAGACCCTTCACAGCTTTGTTCCCATCTCTGAACACGCCCCAGGGCCTCAATGTCATTCTTGTAGTGAGAGACCCAACACTGAACACAGTACCTCGAAGTGCAGCCTAATCATGTGCCACTAACTCTCTGCCAGGTCACTCTCTGCACCACCTAACCCTTGCAGTGTCAGCCTTTATCCTTCAATATGCCTCACATGCTTTTGTATTTCTTTTTGTTGACTTATGAAATGCTCACTGCTAGTACAGGCTTTGTCTCTGCAATATGGTTTGTCCTGTTGTTGACCCCACCATGCAGAGAAACCAACAATCCCTCTTCTCAGTCTTGGATCCAGACATCACAAACTACCCAGGCTTCAGGAGGACGTTAGCAAGCCTACAGCTTTTTTATTGCCCTTGTTCTGCTAGCCTCTTCTGCAGATCCCTGAGGAATGCTTTTGTCATGCAGCAGTTCCAAGAAATGGAAGGAAGAAAATCAAATGCCTTCTTGCTGCTACAGGAACAAAAACAAACACAAAATCTTGCAAGAGCAGGTTCAGTTCTAGGTTCACGCTTGCTCTGAACTAAGAAAAGTTTCATGGAAGCATTTCCTATTAATATCCCAGACCTATAGTTACCATAAGCCCCTGCAAAGCCTCATTGACTCCACACTTGTCAGACAGCAGCTAAACATGTTGCTGCATTCAAGTTCAGCATCTTGACTGACCCACACCTTTCCCCATTAGACACAGCTTATGGAGTGCAACATCTTCAGGGGGGGTGTACCTTCCTTCAGCTGCTGTGGCCACCATGGCACAGGCCTGCACTCACCTGGGTATGCAGCCTGTGGCCTCCAACACTGGGAACAGCAGCAGCTGGGAGAAGATGGGGTCATGAAGGCAGAGCCTGAGACAGCATCTTTCTGCCCTGCTTGCAGGCTTTCTCAGCAGACAGAACAAAAGTCAGTGACCTCACAGACTGTATCCCTGCTTGCAGGATGCTCCTTTCCCTCTTCATATTCACCCAGCAGGCATGGGTTTATCAGCCCTTGGATGGGATAAGGTCTTTCTTGTTTTGCTCCCTAAGGAGTCTGGAACCAGAGCATACCCTGCAAGGACACACCTGCAAGCACTGAGGTGAGAAGCAGAAGGCTACATCAGACAGCAAGGTTGGATCTCTGCAGACACCAAGGAACACTGTCTCAGAGCATAGCACAAGAGCAGGACGTGCATGTGTACCTCAGCTGCAGCCCTTCCCAGCACTAAACCAGCAGAGCCAGGCAGTCAGAGCAGCCCCTGGCAAGGCCCAGGGAGACAGAAGATGTTGCTGGTGCATAGCCCAGATATAGGTACCAGGAGCATTGTCTATAATAATATATTACTTTTATTGGCCTAAACACAGCATTCTAGTTAAGACACTGTGTTTCACTTACATCTGGTGTTTACACAAGCCAGTGATTCTATGCCAGACAAATCCTGCATAATTTCTTCAGTAAAGTGCAGATTAAATAGCTGCCTGCAGCATTTCTGCTTTGCCTTCTTACTAAAGGCAATGGCTGGTTCTGTGGACAATAAAGAGGCAATGACAGGTTCAACCTAATCAGTTCACTCACCCTTTTAAAAGAAATGCTTAGGAACAAGCAACAATTTTATGTATCTTCAAAACTGAGTGATTCGGTAAAGTCCTGTCTTCAACTTGGCTCCCTAATCAGCTCTTTTTTTCAGATGCTTCAAGAACGATAGCATATGGCATCCATGAAACTGGAGATTTAAACCTGTTGAGGTTAGCTTTAATCTTATAGAACAGTATAAAAAATTCCTCAGCAAAGCTGTGAGGAGACTCAAAGAACTTTACCAACATTGCTTAAATAGGAGTTGACTGAGTTATTCATTCCCTTTTTAGTCTGTTTCCTTGAAGCTGCCTACCTAAAATACCTTGATCTTTCTTTTTTCCTCCATGCCTTGTGGCTGAGGAAAATCAGTAATTTAAGGTTTATGGGTGGAGTGGGAGAGTATATGTTCTGAAAACAGCTTCATACTGCACTTCTGTGCATCCTAACTTCTTTTATTCCTTTTGTTCAGAAGTCTATTCCATGAAGAAACAGCCACGTCGATCATATGCAACCCTGTCTATAAAAACTAAGATGTGGATATCAGAATGAAAGGAAGAAACAGAGTCATCATGCAGTTATCACAGATTTATAAACCAATCTTGCTGGAAGGGAGGTGCTGCTGAAGGTGAAACTTACATTCTCTGTGCTAGTATTTAAAAGTAACTTTATGACCTCTGCTGAGATACTCAGAGCTCTTAGTAAACTGCTGCTTTGCGGTGAAGAAAGATGTGCTGGTGTGGACAAGATTAGAGAATTAGGGTAAATTCAGCCAACTGTGTAGGAAGAAGACTTACATGAAACCATCTTCCATATCCATAGATAATTTATGAATAGAATGCAAGTATTGTTCTACAGTCTCAAATAGACACAGCTGGTTAGGCACACACAGCCTGCCATCCTAGCCAGCAGGGGAAGCATTTGTCACTTGTTTCAAATTTGCTTTCTCTAAAGTTGATGGCACACTTGATGAACTTTACTAATTGCATTTTGGAAGGATGGAAAAGATCATTCAAGAAGGAAAAAACTGAAAACAAATCCAGACACACAATTAGGCTGGATAAACCTTTAAAATGCTACAAACTCTTTGCATCTGCACCTGTGAGAGGTGATGGATCCCTGTTACAGCTGGAGTTTCATTTTTAAACCATGAAGAGGAATTCTATGTGTGAACAGCTTGAAAATACAGGTTATAAAGATGTTTAATAAGGCCTTAACTTCCTATTAAGGGTAGTCCTCTGCACACCAGCGTACTTGCTAACAGCATCAGACTGACCCTCAAAGAGAAATGGCAAACAATATGCTGGGCTGTGACAGTGAGAGATCAGGCAACCATGGCAATAACCTTGTTTGGGATAACCTTACAGCCAGAGATATTTTGGCTATAGAAGGACTCACATCTTTGACTTGTGTAGACTGAGTTTTTTGGGAATGGTGGCCCTGTGACTTGCATTTGTCTCCCCACTATCTGTTGGAATGGAAATACCTGCCTGTTCAGCAGGTCCTCACTGCCCCATTCTATCCATGCCTATTTGGAAAGCAGCTCCTGTGGGAATCCCATATTTCCTGTGGGAGTCAGTGCCATCTCTCTTGAAGCTCAGAGGCCAGGAACCACAGTGCACTAACTCCGGTTAGTGACAGCTCTGTGACTTGCTGTACATAAAGTTGCTGTGCCGCAATTAAGTACCCCGCAGAAGCATGTCAGCTTTCCACAAGAACAGAGGCAGCTCTGGTGAGCAACATCACCATGCAGCAGGCAGATAAAAACCTTTTAAAGGATCTTGGTAAGATGCAGTAGAATAAAAGAATAGAAGAAGAAATAAACCGTCTCCAGCTTCCAATTAACCTGGCCCCAGCTGTCTTATCATGTTAATTTTATATTTCACTTGTGTTAGATCAAGGGCAGTACAGATGGCTGCACTCAGGTGTGAGATGGCAGACATGGACTGAGGCACCCACAGCATGGCTCTCACCTCCCTGAAGCATGGGGAGGGGGTTCCTGTGGCCCAGCAGGTCACTGAAGATTAATAAAGCAGTCAGCAGGTAATTATCACCCCCTTGTTAGCCCTGGTCCCAAAGGAATAAATTAGAGGAACAAAGTAGAAAGGAGCTGCAGGAAGATCAGTGTGAGCTGCATCTCCTTGTGCTGGGGAGGGTGGGGGGGGTGGGGGGGCACGTCCTGAAGGTTCCAGCTTGAAATCACTGATGGATTATAGGAGGAAGTTCCTCTCTGTGGGGGCAAGTGTTGCTATTTGTGCATTTTAGGCAGTTGAATTCACTAGTTCTTTTAGGGTCTAAGCATTTGCTAGCACTAACTGTAAGTCTACAGAAAGCAAGATGATCTCCCTCCTTTATATAGTCACCGTAGGCATATCTGTCAGGTGCACTGTTTTCACTTCTCAGTCTGTAGATCCATCTACCCTACTTGGGGCTTGTGGCAAATGGGAGGCTTCAGAATGATTAACAGTGCCTTTGAGACTACACCTCCCGAATGCAGAAGTCTCATTAGCAGCAAAGACAACAGGAACTCAATTAGGCATCTTTGTACAGATGTAGGCAGTGAAGACACATCTTTCCCTGCACTGAGTTAAGGCAGGAGATGAATTCCCAAAGCAGAGCACTTGTGTGGTAGTGTTGTCACATTTGCAACCCGTTAATTGTTTCATCTCACTGTGGTGAAATAATGCAGAAAACAGTTTGGGCTAGTGCACTTTTAGGAAACACTAACCACAGCTGACAAGAGGCCACAAGTCACAATTTTGGCTGATATCAGAGCAGAATGAACAAAGAACACAACAGGTGCAGTTTTTAGGTGAGAGGCAAAGTGATGGTACAAAACATAAAGCACAAAACATGGAGGGGATGGATTCTCAACATCATGGGAAAGTCGAAAGTCTTAAAAACACCACTGCTGGTCTCTCTTCTGCACTTTCATTATTAAAGATTGTTCTCCACTTAGTGGTTTTCCCCATCCACAGATAACGCACATTAACTTCTGAACTTGCAGCTGCAAAAAGGAAAGAAAAAAAGAAAGCAATATTCACATAGATGAGAATGACAAAAACTTAGTGATGCATCTCTGTGTGCTTTGGCACCATTCTGATACGCGCCGCTTAACAGCCCTTCTCCCGTGAAAGCTATGGGCAAATAATGATCTCTTTATGGGATAAACAGGAGCACTTGGAGGGGTGGAGGCAGACCTATTGGCTGAGTCTCCCAATGGCAACAGGCTCTGGAATACCCCTTCTTGTAGAGCTCAGCTATCCCCGCCACAAGAAGAGCAGCCGCAGGACAGCTGCACAGCAAGTTCCCCCTGGTGACACTTAAGATCTCACTTGATCTCTGCTAGTACCTGCAGAGGAGCCAAACAACCCAGAATAGGCATTGTCCTGTCCTCCTGCACACAGGCACGGCCTCTGTCTGCATCCTGCTGTGGCACAGCTCTACCTGCTATTGGAGAAAGCTGGCCTCCTTGCAGAAGCCTATTCACATACTGCTGTATCTCCGCAGTCCTCTCAAGGGATGGGCAGTTGGCCTCGGGGAATGCCCAAATATGTCTTGGGTTTATCAGCCGCCTCCTCCTTTTCTCAAAAATAGGTCTGCCTTCATGTCAGCTGCTAGTATAGGCCATTACCATCCTTGGCTGTTTATAGTTGTTTTTTTTTTTTTTTTTTTTTTCCACTGGAACAAATCTGTAGACAGAAAGCCAGAAATGGTTTATTGAATAAATGAATTAAGATCATGTGTTCCTATGTGGCTGGACAACTTTATAGTTTAAAAAAAAAAAAAAAAAAGCAGGGCAGAAAAGGAAGTCAAAGTACAACATGAAGACATTTGATGGTAAGGAGATGCTGCAGAATGCCTTAAACCCCCAAGGGATGAATACAAGAACACTGTGAACTCCAGTTTTAAAGTGCAGTTCCTTACACCTGAATCCACCTACTCCCAGGGCTTACATCCAAATACCAAACAGCTAGGCTAAACTTCCAGCAAAGCCATCCCTATAAAGAAAGCTAGTGTGGGGCACCTTGGTAACATTAATGGAACAAAGTTATTTCTCCCTTTGCACATCACACTTTATAATCACCTCTAAATGTCATTGTCTCACAGCAACAAATGTAGTCTGAAAGCCATAGCCAGAGACTTCACAGGTCTCCCTCTCGCCATGGCGAGTACAAATTCCCCAATTATGATGTATTCTTAACACTGACGTGCTAAGATGCCCGACAAATCTACGTTCAGGACTTTCTGCAAGAGTTGTTCCTTTACAATAAAAGCCATCACTTAGTTGCAGTCATGTGCTGCTGAGTAACCAGAGCTGAATCTGCCAGCCACATCCATAAAGGACAAATCTGCCCAAAGAGATTTTCCCTTTCCCATTAGAAAGCACTAAGAGAACATATTCTGCAGAGCTGGATGCTGTTGAATCACACTAATTCATGAGGAACTCAGCACCACCACCAGAGCAACAACTGGCTTTGGTAGCACAGTTGTTGGCAGGTACTAAACACAAAGGGTCTTTGGTCTGTTTTTACACTTCATGGCCTCTGGACCTCATTATTTCTGCTGTTTGACAGAAGGGTAATTAAAACTCCACTGTAAGAATAAAACCTTAGAGATCTGTTTAGAAAGCAGCATTCTCCTGTAGTATTGCTTTGCAGAGATGGGTGTTGTCCACCCATTGTGTGGTTTTTTTTGCTTGGAAAAGGCTCCAGAAGCAGCTCACTCCCCAGGAGCTCTGCAGAAGGCTGCAGTAGAAACAGGCTCACTGAAAAGCAGCAGCTTGATGGTGTTTTACTCGTGGATCAACAAAATAGTTGAGATTTCAGTAAATTCACCTGAACAATTTTTTTTTCTTTTTTTTTTTTCTTTTTTTTTTTTCCACTGCAAAACCTCCCATCCCTCCCTTCCTCTCTATCTATTAAACAGCCTAAAAATATCTTGGTGAGTGCAGTTGTACAGCAATGTGATATTTTTACTGCTACTTTCCCCTGATTACCCTTCTCTGTAGCTGCCCTATTTCACAATTACTTCCCATGGCTCACACTCTGTGCTGAGGGCTCTTTCTGCATACAGGGCTGAATGCCTTACAGCAGGACCAGCCCACCCCAGTGTTACCCCCAGCTGCTCCTGCTACCTGATGCTCAGAGTGATGTGCAGAGCTGAGGGGAAGCACACCCCTTTCCGAGCTGGGAAGGTGCCTGCTGTGAAGATGCAGTGATGTCAGCAGCGAATAATTAAGTGATAATGTAATAACTGTGAGTTTGTGCTCCATTAAGTGAGCTCCTGCTGGCTGCTTAATGAGCAAACAAAAACTCAAACCCTATTAATATTATTCCAGTAACATTAAATGTTAAAAAAAAAGAAAAGAAAAGAAAAGAAAAGAAAACTCAGAAGTCCTTAGTAGTTATCACTTGGGAGTCATCTGGAAACACATGCCAAGCGCTGTGAACTATTCCAGCGCTGCATTTGGAAGTCTTAAAAGTTCATTTTCTTTTCAGAAGAGTGAAGAATAAGGTAACCATACCAACAGGAGGACTGCTTCCTCTCTGCAACATCTGGCTCCTTTGTTGCAGCAATCGGGCTCCTCCTCCTGCACCAGTGCTGCAACAACTGCATCACAGAGCTGGCTTGTGTATATCAGAGAGATGAGTAGAGCCTAGAGGATCCTTATTCGTCAATATAATATGTGAAATTTATGAAGGATCTAAAAAAAATAAACACAACAGGTTATATTGATGAAGCTGCAACAATTTGGAAGAAGAAATCCAGAGCCAGAGTTGCCACTGGGGCAGTGAGCAAGTGGAGCATCTTTCACTGAGCTTAGAGGTGAGACACAGCTGCTGCATGGGAACACATACATCAGGGGTGCCCTGGGCATCTGGGACCTTGAGTCACACATAGTGGTAAATCAGTACTGCTGCCTTGGAAGTAAAGCCAGAAGAGTTCAGAGATTAATGCAAGGTTCATGCTGCACATGAATGATGACATTCTCAACGCAACAAAGCAAGAGATGGCCCTTCTGCTTGAGCTTATGATCCATGGAAAGACAGTAAAGCATAGATTCTATTATTTTCCCTTGATGGTAATAAATGAAAAAGAATGGATGTAAAGTCTACAGCTCAGTGCCCTAATTTCTAGAGGTCTGCTAGTTGAAGTGGGTCTTTTAACAAATTATTTTAATGGCCTTAAAAACTTATTTTATAAAAAGGAACAAGTATTTTTTGTGTTTTCACTGGTTTTACTCGAAACTCCTTGTCAACAGACATTATTCAGTGTGCAGAATTTACAGTCAAAGCATTAAGACACTTAAGAAATCTTTCCTACAGAAACACAGGTTGTACCCAAGTATCAGAGACATGTCTAAGTCTAAGTTTAAAGACTTGGTACTCTATTAGGGAACTGAAACTTTGTACACCAAAAACATGAGCTACCTGCTATTTAATCTTGTAGTAACCTGCAGCAGTGATCTGGGTGTACCCTTATTTACTCCAACCAACAGGCTGCGGCTTACAGGAAACACAGGAAGATAACATGCAAGAACAACATCTCCCTGCTTCCTGAAGGACACACTTGATAGTGTATCATCAAGGACATTCTCAGCAGGTGATGTTTTCTCTGTTAAAAGTACCCTCATCTAATAGTTTGCAATACTATCAAAAAGGGGAAGGCATTTTGTAAGAAACACAATAGTAACAAACAAACAAAAAAAATTATGTAGTTCTCTGCTCCAGAACAGGTTTTCAGGGGTTAGGTACACTGCAGCTTTTTTGAACAGAGTTCTCTGCTGTAAGAACAATGCACCATCACAAAGATAGTTCTCTCATGCCTCGTCTTCTCCAGAACCCTCTCATTTCTTGCTTTCCCCAAAAGAAGTGAAAATCAAGACCAACAAAATAATATTTGTGCCCTATGCTTTAGATATGAGAAGACAAATAAAATGGAGACTGGGAGGTCCATTTGGGATGTTGTATCTTTCAGATATGAAAGGATGAGTTATAACATTACAACTGGCAAGAAAAAGGCATAGTAAAAGACCAGTTTGACCATGTTAGACATCTGGCAGTAGGTGCTCGGCATCCTAAAAATCTTACTGTATCAGACACACACAAAAAAACAGGCATTTGCATTTAAAAATAGTTAATAGCCTACGGTACTGTTCTCCTTGTGATTATGATGACTGTCAAATAACATGATGCTAATATCTTACTTAAGGCCATATAAACATTGCTCTAAAGTGAGGGTTTTCTTTACATACGATGGGAACAAGTTAAAATATAGCAACTGCCTAAATCTCAGTCCAACTGGGAGTAGGCTGGTTTTTGATCTTGGACACGTTGTCCTTATCCAAAAATCCTTCATCATTGCATAAAGGCCTGCTTACACTCCCCATGCATACTAGGTTCTCTGTTAATGTTAGAGCTTTCTAAGCTAAGGAAGATGGCATGAAGACATTCCATATGCTAGAGCTCAAATATATTCTCTCTCAGATTTTCTAAGATGACAAATCTTTGTTTCCAGCTTTAAATACTGAAGAATAGCATATTTATTCTGCACAGACTTCTACAACACATCTTTTTCTCTGCAAAAAAATATTGTCTAGAGAAGTAAATATACTAATGAATTCAAGAAAAATTCAGCACTTTTACATAAAAATTTAAAAAATTGCCAAAATAACAAACCAAACATAAACACAAAATTCCTTCTTCCTTTTTGCAAGATAGGCTGAATTACAGAGTTTTGGAGCTATGGTTTGTTGAGATTCTGAGAAGACTCTGAGAAAGAACCTGCTCTAAATTCTTTCATTCTCTCATGCTGCAGAGAGATTGCATTGCATGATATTGGCTAAATTGGCACGTAACAGTGCAGAGGCTGACGTATCCAACACCCTTTTTTGGCTGTGCTGGATTTATTCCTTAATGAATGCATAAAGCCTGTCCAGCCTTTTTTCTTGAAAACCACAAAGGTATCCTACAGCATGAATTACTTTTCCAGTCATTGGCAAACAATGGACACTGTCGACATTCTCTGCATTATTACATGTAGGCAAGTGATAATTCAGAAGGGGTCATGCATCTAGCAGTCGATACTTCTATGCCTAGAAAGTTATTGCTGTCATAGAATGATTTGTCAGGGCAGAAACTTTATTTATATGTAGCAAACATCCAATTACTTTTATTGCATGCACCTTTGATACAGGATGTTGTTCAAATATGGCCTTAATTTTGAATTCTGTAAATAACCAAAGCAGAGAGTAGCAGGCATGTTGTCAGCATTTAGGCCATTGCAGCTTTCTTTGCAAAGTTGATCTAAGAGTCTGGCAAGTATATGACACTAATGATATATATATAGTGCCTTTAAACACTACTTCTGCAGCAAACTCATTTTCTTTCATTTCTAAGTTTATAGTCATCAGAAAAGCCATAATCAATATACCCACTCCAACTATCAAAAAGAAGTAAAGCAGGCTCTTCCCATTACCTTAGCAGCAGAGGATACCATTTTTCCAACATTTCCTATGCAATACTAGAGATCCTGAACTCAGAATATGGCATACAGAAAAAACAATGACAAGATGTTCAAAGTTGCCAGAACTATTTTCAGAAGCAACAAAGCATGTCTTCTGTTAAATCCAAATATGCATTTCAATGATGTTTAGGTACCTGATCCATTTGGATGCTGACTTTGTCTGGTCCCATGACAGCACCTCAGCCATTAGACTGCCCTTCCCCAGAGGATTATACATGATCACAACCAAACCTAGGAGCAAACAGATCCTGCTCTTCCTCAGTGCAGCTCTGCCCGCTGGCTGCTCATCAAGACTTCTGGATGTCTGATTGAGTTTTCACATTGGTATTCTCTCCAGTGGCAGTGTAGTGTTTGACTCCCTGATTTCCCAAATGACTTCTGGGTAGCTGGTAGACCTTGGTGGAGCTGGGAATACAGCATGTTCTGAGTTTCCATCATGCCCATACAGACTATACTAGAATGTGCAGTGTTTGTCCTTGGAGAATCACAGATTCCTGTCACAGGTCATTTAAGGAAGATAAACAACATGGATAAGTGTCCAAAATGGGGCAATAGAGGCAGCGCTTTGCTTTGCATTTAGGAGATTAAACAATAACCGTTTGGCAGCCTCCTTCTCATGAACTGAATGCCCTGGTCAACCCCCATTCCTTGCACTGTTCCTATCAAGAGCAGTCTGAAAGTCTGAGCTCAGTGAAGGCTCTGTGGTTGATTTTAATGGCCTCTATAGGTTTACTGCAGGTAAAGTAGCACATGGCAAAGCACCAATACTACTTCTGAACTTCTTTCTCCAGTTGGTAGCTAATCCTATAGCAATAATGATCATCCTATCCTCATTGCCCTTCCTGCACAGCTTGTACACTGGACAAAGAAAAACAGGGATGTGCCATCAGCTCTACCTTAGTGAATTACTCTTGAAGGGATAGTGCTATGAAGCTGCTATTTCACAAACATTTCATTAAACCCTAATGTGACTAATGCATTTGTTATTCATGTGCATATAAATTTATTCTTTGATCTGCTTGTAAATCTATTTTGAGGAACCTGGAGTTAACAGTCTTCACATTGCTCTCACACTCTCCCTTAATTATCATGGTACAGTTAGTTTCTCTTTTTCCCTCCCACGTCCTTTTCTTTAGAAAAACATCCTCAGGTCACAAAATCACAAGTCACTACGTGACATTTTTTAGAAAAGAAGTATTTTTTAGAAAACATAAAAAGTGCTTCAGTTACCAACCATCCCTAAAATTATTCTCCTTTAATAAGCATTGCACACACGGTTTTGGAGAAATGTTTTTTGCCACTTTCAATAGGTGACACGAAAAGTAACAGAAGGAAATTCAGGAAAACTCTGAGTGCAACAGTAATTATGGTGTTAAAACCCAGACTCCATAAGAACAATCTGATCAGATAGCTTTGTGTTTAAACGCTTATCTACTGATGAAAATCTGTTCAAAACACAAAAGTCAGCATTGATATAAAGTCTTTCCCCTTTCCACAATCTTGTATCTCAAGGTCTGTTTTACTGTTGACTCAGGTCACCTCACTCTGAAGCAGCACTGATTTATCCTGGTTTCAGGCATTTCCAGGCAGGGCAGAGCGCACGGTCCCAGAGCCTTTCTGTGGAGAATATTTCATAGTGGGATATACGTCCTGACTCTGAAACAGTGAACAGAGAGAGAAGAAAAGGCATACATGTCTTTCAGAGTACATCTCCAAAATAGCTCTATGAAGATTGTTCAGCAAGAAACCAATTGCAGCCAAAATGCAAACCTTCTCTGCCCAGTCTGGTTGCAAAATTTACGCATTCATGACAATTAATTGGCAGCAATGTGGAGGAAACCCAGTGCCTTTTCCCTCTGAAATCTTGTATAAACTTGTCATTACCAGGGCAGCAGCCCCTTAAAAGCAATGTTCCTTGCCATAGAACTGGGGTGAGGTGAGTGAGGTGGACACGTAACAGGAAGCACAGCATCAATCTGCCAGCACGGAGGCAGCTGCTGCTCCAGACTGGGTGTGTGCTGACCTACACCCTCAGCCTCCTTAGCAGCCCTGCTAACACTGAGCCCAAGTGTTTGTCAGTCCCCAGGGCTTGCAGTCCTTCTGCTACACATCCTCCCTGAACTGAGGCACTGACTTCCAAGAAGCCACCACCACTGCTGCCGCAACCAGCCTCGCTAGATTTTGCTACATGATTTAGCATTGCTAACAGCTGTGGTGAAATCCGACGGGGAGTATCTGCAGCAAGCAACTCACAGTGGAGGTGTAAACCAGTTTTAACACATACTGATGCTTCTGTTTCATACACAACCCTCCTGACTCACAAATTGAAAGTGCAGACAGAACATTTTGAGACCAATTGCTGAGGAGCTGCAAGGAGCAGTGACCCTAGATAGGACAAAGACACTTCATCCAAGTGTCCTACATCAGAGCAACACACAGGATCAACAGGTGCTAAGGCAGTGCTATTTTGAAGCAGCTGGGAGGATTGTCACATTTAGAAGCCAGCTCCAGGAGAAACACACCTCAGTCTGAATACACTGATGTGATCCCTGGAGCTGGAGGAAGTGCTGCTCCACATCTGTGGCATTGTAACCGAGGCAGGTGGCTCTGCTGGCTCCATGGATTTAAGAGGTCAGGCTGGAGAGTGCCCTGCAGACTGATGAAAACCTCTGATTAAACCAACACTCTTGTGCTTGAAGTATGGTGAATGCCAACCTTAGGGCTAATAATTTTGATATTAGTGCAGTATCCTCTGTCTTACAGACATATGGATGAACATTTACAAAAAACAACCTTTGACTTAGTTTGTGAACCAGTCCTGACTTCTCCTTAATTGCAGAAGGGACCTTACCTACCACAAAACAGCAGTGAGCATGAAGGCTGCCCTCCATCTGATCTGGCTTGGATTGGTCCCCACCACATTACACATCCAGATCCAACCTCCTGGTGGCAATTTTATTCCTTACCAAAGATGGGCTCTCCCTACATTTTTTAAAATGAGAGGATTTGAGGATGCTTGTCTGTGCTTAAGGGGTCTAGAAGTCAGGCTCACAGTTTCTCATTTTGATGGCAACTTTCTTCCAACTATGGTATGTAGCTCTCTCACATCCTTTGTTGTGGTTTTCCCCAAATGATTTATAACTGAAACTCCCATAAACCGTAACATTTTTGTGAAGGTGTGAGAGGATCAGATGGGTATGCAGGTCATGCTGGCAGGGAATGCCAGGGAAAGACAACAAACATCATGCTGTAGAGAAGCACCACAAAATGCGTATTTAAAAAGACACAAGTATTTCAGAAAACAAAACCATTCTTTATAAACAAGAGCATGTTCTGATTTTCCTTCTTTAAAAAAAAATCTGTCCAATCCATATTCATCATCAAACTTCTCTGGTGAGGCCAGCAGTACCTAAATAGGCTCTGAAAAAATACACAGGCACAAATACACTGAAGAACAGCAGGCATTTTGCCTCTCTCCAGCTGTCCTAGTAGACATTGGTGTTTCACTCCAAACTAATGACCATACCAATCCTACCACCTAAAAAGAACAACACTTAGATTACAAGCATTTTGAAGACTTTTCCTCTCTCTCTTCCTCTCTTCTACTTACTTCAACATAACTGATATGGTGATGGAGGAGAGAAGATGATGCAATCTATCTGAAGACCTACACAAACATTTTTCAAAAATTTTCACACACGGCAAAATGCCAAAAATGTGAAAAAGATTTTTCTTCCTTCTTAAGCAACTCTAAAGTGTAGACTTTGCATCCCACAGAAAGAAAAAATTGAGGAAACCATGCTGTAGTGACTGCAATGCTGACAAGGTTAATGGCACTTGACAACTGCCTTCCTTTTTCTTTTTTTTTTTTTTAAATTTACGCTGAAACTTAGAGATATACAAAAGGCAACAACTAGTAATTTCTGCCTTTGGAGACTCCAACCTTGCTAGTAGTGCTGTGGCCCTCACACAAGGAAGAGTTCTCCCATCCCCACATAACAAGGCACACACCAATGCACAGCGGCTAAAGGAAAACAGACACCATTCCCCATTATGGTTTTGTAATGTCAATGCTTGACACAAACTCCACTCACTGAGTAAAGTTCTGAAGATATCAATTGCTTCAGCATTTTAAGACAAAATAGGTCAGAATTCTACTTCATAGTCAATTTTAATACACCTTGGCTGCTTTCCAGGTAAAAGAACCCCAAATCCTTAGCTACGAAATTTCATTCCCAAAGAAGGGGAGAAGTATGGGAAAAGAGAAAGGCAAAGCATTTCTGAGTCAAGCAAATATATATTTCTTTTCTTTTGTAAAAAAGTGTGGATAGAAAAAACATATTAGCTAGTAAACTTACAATAAAGCTTAGCACAGGAAAGTTATGAAGAGTGAATATGGGCACCACCTGCTGTATAAGTATTGTGAGATCTGTGTAACATTGCAGATTTTCACTGGAACAAGGAGCACCCTGGCTGGGCTGGTGGCCAAGCTCCAGGCAGAGGGGATTGGAGTCCTCAGATGAGAAACACTGAACTTTGATCACAGTGACTGAGAACTCATTTATTCAGAAAATAAAACAGCTTAAGCTTTTATGGGTTATGTCCGGTATCACAAAGCTGCCAGATGGGCTAGGCTGTGGGAAATTAAAATAAAAGGCATTTAGAAAGAAGGTCTGCTGGGATATTCCCCCATTGCAACTTCTTCACAACTTAGTAAACATGTGCAATTCATTGTTCATCATACTGGAATTAATCTTCTCCAGACTTTGAAAGTTATTGTCCTGAAGCACAATTCTGAAACACAAGTATTTTGGCCCAAGATACTTACCATAGGTTCCTTTATACTTTGTCCTGTGGTACCACCTGGAGGCTGGAGTCTCAGTGCTGTATCTGCAATGCATGTGTGGTGCCAGAGGTCTTGAAGACAATACAAAGATTAAAAAAAACCTTCAGAGAAAGCATAGGTAAGGACTGCAAGGCGCTAATCAATGAGGAAGGCAATGACTGGAGAAAGCAATGTCTGGAGCACTCCCATCAAGAAATACCCTAATTCTGTCCAGCTGTGGGCTGTTGGTGGGCTGGGCATTACACCTGGGTGTGGGTGCAAGTGCTGCAGCAATTCAGACAGCAGGGCCAGTGGTAATGGGAATTCTACATGGCGGAACCAAAAGTATTCAGACTTTAAAGAAAAATTCTATAAGCCAAGTGAATCTTTACCACGTTCTGATAATTTTTGCAAACCTAAATAAGCTCTTTGTGTATAAAAATATATTTGTTAAACATTCTGATGTTATTTCAATCATATTTTTAAAAGGGGTTTTGAGGACAGGCTCTTTCTCATGTACATTTTCTGCCATGTGTTCCAGGCTACTCGTGGATACAAATATGGCACATTCTTTGACTATCTGCCTTTTAGTATCTACGTGCTTTATATTTTCTCTCGTTTTAAAGAGAAATTTAATGCTGATCTGAAACTGCTACTATATTCTCCCTGTCCCTTGGATTCAATTAGAAAAGCAGGTAGATGAAGATATTGTGACAACTATTCTTTCCCTCAAAACTATGCAGCAATTTATATTCCAAAAGGCTGACACAATAATTTAGAGCTTCTTTGTACTAGTTAAAAATTCAGAACTATCTATCTCATCTCACCGCAGTCCCTGAAACCCACAGTGAAAGGCAAAGCTGTGAAAATTTTCTCAGCTCAAAGCACTATAACTGCATGTGACAACTTAAGCAGCAGAGCTTGGATAGTGCTTACAGGGTTTTTCATGTTGTCACCACAAAAAGACAGCAGAAGTGTTAAAGCAGTGGGATTTGAAGGATCAAGTTCTTATCATTCATTGCAAGAGGAATGGCAGTGTCTTCCCCATGAAGTTGATATGTCTTTAGTTCATCCTGCAGCTAAGCATCAGCTATGATTTTGCAACTTAGAAGCATAGACAGGTTTGTACCAACTCTGCTGGCATAGTCAAACCAGGTGCGTAAAGACATGCAACACACTGTAGCACACAGTTGCCATAACTCATGTATGCCTTGTGGTAAATACAACTTTTTGTGTTCAGCAACATTACTGTCTCACTTTTGTGGTATATTGTTTTCTTACATTTAATTATGTAATGCTCTTCAATTGCATTTCAGCAGTATGGGAGCAAATTCTCTGATACGATCCTGCTGCTGTCAGCTGAGCTACTACTATCGGATTTCATCTGGCTCGCTGTTTGAAAGAGCAAAACCTGCTGAACTGATAAATGTACTATTATTAACCCTATTCTGACACTTTTAGTGATTACAACAAACAGTTTTAGAAGTTCTGTTCAAATTCAGTGAAGAAGATGGATCCTGCCCCAAAGAATTTGAAGTTTAAAAGCCTCACGGTTCATCCCTTGCTACTTGTCTTCTGTTTCTAAAGTAACACATTTCACCTCTTGCAGAGTCCTCCTAATACCTCTGACACTCTTTTTCGTGGTTAAATATATTTCAAGCAGCAGGCAAACAAGTTGCCTGTGTGCACGTTTCAAGTTGCTGTTTCTCCAATGACCTTCTTTCATGCTCTTTCATCTCTAAATTTAGCTAGCTACTGAAGTGAGTCTAGCGACACAGGAAATACTAATGCAGACTATATGTAATCACTCTTAAAAGAACAGCACAGATTATGAGACGGTGTAATCACTATTCTGTAGCCAAATGAAGTTTATTTTATGAAACTGCACCTTTTCAAGTCTAATAAACCATTACAGACATTCAGTCCAGACCAACACATGCAGCACAAAATCAAAAGTATTATTCAAGGGCTGACACTCAGAACATGGAAATCTTTTAAGGATTGTTGTGTCCGTATTTGAACAGATGACATTGTAACTGCCAGGCACAAGTGTCCCACAGACATTAAACCTGAAATTTAATCTTTGTCAATGCTGCTTCATTGTCCTCTAATGAGCAAAGTACATTGTAGAATAAAGGGAACCATTTAAGAATGTGCAATAAAGTATTGAGATTCAGAAAGGTACTGTACAGATACTGAGATGGGAACTGAGATGAGATGATGAGATCATAACAAGTTTAATGAAGCAGCAGAAAGGTTATACCACTTTAAATATTGTACAGCACTGTCAGATACAATAAATATGGCAAAATAGTAAATGTTCTGCGCCACTTGAGTAAGATGAGTAATGAACAATTTGATTCCCTGTATCAAATACATAAAATCTGATTAAAATATTAATAATATATCTGCTTATATAGATAATGGAATAGTTTTAAAGTTTCTAATAACCTTTGTTTTGAGAAATCAAACTTCAAAAATTCTAGTAAAAAAGCTTTTCTTTCTGTGAAAACAGCACAAGCACAACCCAGGAAAGTAGTTAATTCTTTCTTTAATAAAGTGGGCTAGATATTCTTCTGGGATAAAGACACAAAGTTCCACAACTAAATGAATACCCAGTCAAAATACCATACTGCCTCTCTGCAGTATATACAACTGATATGACATGCAAAAGACTTCAAACAGCCATAAATTACAGATGTAAGATACAGTACAACAGTTTCAAATACATATCTTCATCCCATATGAGTTATTATCACAAGTTTTCAATGCATATCAGTTTTCTATCTTGTCACTGGTATCCATGAACATTATGAGCGGGTCTTTTCTGGGGAAAAAGAATAATCTTGCACTTTAAACGACAATTTATTTCTCAGTATATTCCTAACATAAAGCAAGACAGGGTGATGGTTTGATATTCTGTCTAACTTACAGGCTCATCTGATTTAAAGAATATATAAAATTTTAACTGCCTCTGTACCATGATTAAGTGTGAGACAGCAAATTTGTGACATGGAAGGACATGGTGTAACCAAAGCAGATTCGTTTACTAGAACTCGCTCTAATCTTACTTGCATAATCAACTCTCTGCTTCTAAGGATCTTATTATATCCCTTGGCATGACAGGCATCCAGCTCAGTGGTATCCACTGCTTAGCGAAAACTTGTTAGAAACTCCAAAAATCTGTATATACTTTCAGCGCTGCTTTAAAATATGCTGTATTGAAGATATAACTAACTTACAAAAATAAAAGAACTGTACAAATCACACTCTTGCAATGGCAATGAGACTGCTCAAGAAAACAGCAATGTGATCCCTGAAACAAACAACCAGAACAGAAATGAAAAGAATGATTCTTAAAATAATAAAAAAAAAGTAAAAACATTTTCCCCTGCCAAAGTTCTAGAATCACTGAAGGCTTATGTATCACAGAATATAAAACTTGTCTCTCTGCATCCAGAATATTTCTTTCCTCTTTCCACAAGTACTGGTTGAACAGATTCTCCTTTGTTGGTAGTGTGGTACAAGCCTTGCTGAATGGGTTAAGGCTAGAAGAGTTGGAAAGGCTTAAAAAACCCAACAGGCACCTAATCCCCTGGCATTTACACAGAATCAGAGAAATAAAATAAACCTGAAGGTAGGCATGTGTGTTTATTTCCAAAGTGATTTTCTATGAAGCTTAAAACTAAACCAAAATAAACACCTATCTGAAATGTTACTCGCTTAAGGTCTCTCATCTAAACAAAGTCATCGGACTGTTCACACCACTCTGCCACAGAGATGTGTGATGCTATGCCTGCTCGCAACATTCCAGTGTTTTAACATTTTACAAGGCACAGAGAATCTCAGAAGAACTACACAGCGGCTTCTGAATGTGTAAGGATATGGCAGCTCCCATGTAATTACATGACAGCTATCTCTTAATGTCAGTCATTAACACAGACCATCTAAGACCAGCAAGCCACATCGCCTCATCTTTGGGATACTGTACTTAACTCCACTGACAATTACAGACTAATCAGCAAATAATTACCATTTAAAAGACTATACCAACAGAAGCTTCACCATGCAGTTACGATGCTCTTGCACGGCGTACTTGATAAGTATCTTGAAACAAAATAATTCAGATTTTGTACTGTTGTTAGAAATGGAGAAATTTTCTAGCACTACTTCCTCTGGCTATAACTGCACAGGTCCTGCATGAGCAGCAGGCTTCCTCTGACTAACAGCTTCTTTTTGCAAATTCCAGAAGAGTTTAAAGGAATCAGTGAGTACAAAGAACCCCCATCTTACCTATTTAAAAAGAACTGTTATTAGATGCACTAAGTACTTGATGGCAAAGAAATACGCTTTTCCATAGAAGAACAAGTTTTAGGGTTAATTAAAAACTTTCTGTTGGTTAATGCTGCTGCACTACTATGTATTTTTTTCTGACTAGTAATGTGGAAATAATATATGCATATATGTAAACAGAATATATAGAAGATAACAGCAAGGAGATGTAAAGTGCTTTTAATTATGAACATTTCATATCACTTTGCACCCTTCCATGTTAACTTACCATATTCAAAATAATTTTAGATCAACTGGCTCAGGTGTACGCTATGAAATAATGTAATTTCCCTACTCTTTGATGGTAGCAATCTCAGTAAAATCAAAATCAATTCATGCCAGGGGAGTAAAAGCACACAGATACTAAGAGGGAAAGAGGTGAGCTGAGAATTCTCAAGGGGAAAAATAGCAGGCAAAGGGAAGTAAGGCTCTGTTGTATAGGTCCCCATTCTCAAGGAATTTGTAACACATTCACTTTAACACAGTGCTGAGGAACTATTACACAAACCAGTGCCTTTAACACACCTCAGGCTACTGCTGGATGAAAAGAAAGAAACTAGGATTCCTCAACTGAGAACAAGTGCCAGAATGATGCTTTTAATTTTTCTGATTTACATTCTCTATTTCTCTAGTCACAGACTCTGAAGAAACAGTATCCTTGCCTATTCAGAAAACCCAGTCTAGCATATTTTGCAGAAGGACGATATTAAATCTAGTTTGTCTTTGCCTCTTCAGGTCTGATGTCATGTACCTAAGCATTTCCTAATCCATTATTGTACCTAGCACATACTATTCTATGTTTCAAGAAAGCAACAGTTCTATAGTAACAAAGCTCCTAAGTAGGACAGACTATAACTAAGAATAACTGTATATTAGAACCAGGTTTACTGGGTTTTTACTTAAGGCAGTCATTACAAGATGTATATTCTTTTTGAAGAGTCGCAACAAAAAATGTATTTTTTTTTAACCTAGGCTTTTGGCAGCTGAATGCCTTACCTTCACCTATTTTCTGTCCTTCTAATCCAAAGAACCGTCCAGCCTGTGGAACCACTGGAAGCCGAGCTGAGGTGTACCAGCTGGCCTTCTAATTTCTCCCAGTCAGTTTAGTTAGATGTCCAGAGGGCTTACAATAGCAAAGTCAGAATCTTTGCTGTTATTACTACTGTTGTCATCAGGGCTGGAACTCAGGTTGCTGGAGGAGGCTGAGATGGAGCCCATCAGAGGGTCAGAGAATACCAAAGGACGAGATGGAGCTTCTGGCTTCACTGCTGACTCCTTGAATGTCTGAAGCAACTGTGCGGGCTCTGGGACAGCACTTCTGCTTCCTTCTTCTTTGGAAACCAAAATACAGTCATCAGCACCCTTACTCTCTCTAGTGCTTGAATCAGTGGCAGTCTGTAAGACGACAGCACAGAAAGAACTATAAGTCAGTACCCATTTTACTTTTTAAAAGAGTTTTCTGACACACAGTGGTGATTCAGAAATGGTATAGAGGAATTATCATTATTCAAAAGTTGCAACGCTCATATCAAAACGTAAAAAAACCAACAACATGTATTATGGATTAAATTATTAAAGACAACAGTACAAAAGCTCTAAAATTACCATCAGATATAAAGTTCTTATATGTTTCTTTATCACAGTGCATCTGGGCCATGCTCAAAGTAGCTGGGCATCCAATGCCTAAATCAGAGTTGTGAAGATTTTAGGCAATTCTATTCACCCTGCTGTTATTTTTCTACTGAAGTACATAAAGACAAACTGAGGTATTTTTTGCAGATCTGCATATACAATGGTATCTTGCAGTTCTTCAAGTGAGTGGTTTGACATAAAATTTCCTGATAAAATTCTGATCAGTGGAATCTGAGCTGTACATCATATTTTAGTGTGCAGCAGTTCAAGGCAGATTTGTACTCGAGGTCTTCAAGGCTTGATGTTGTAGGCTGAAGAACTAAGCACTGTCTCACTTTACCAGAAAACCTGGATCCGGGAGTTCCTAATCTATCTTGTTAGATGTTGGGAAATGGCTGTCCCAAAGCATTCCAATAGTGGATGATGAATAATGTTGATGTACCAGAAAATTCTCTATGATTTCGCAATCTCATATTCCAACTGGATGTATTCAGATTTTCAAAAGACATTACTGCATGTAATTAGAACGAAAAACAGCATGGTGGGATTTCTCCCACATTGCCAAAACTGGCAACATATTAGTGTGGTTGCAAAGTAAATGGACAGTAGCCTCTAGTTTCTTCTGCAAGAGTTGGGTTCAACTCCTATCCAGCACTATATTCCTCCAACAGTAATATAACCGATTTCTTAGTTGCCAATGTATCAGCACCAGAACGCAACTCAGCAAGTGGCCTCAGTGAGACAAGTGTCCTGAAGTGGTGTGATATTGAAAACAGTACACTGATTTCAGTAATGCAAGATCAAGGGAAAGGAGAAGTATGGGAATGTGCGTGCCAAACACAAGTCCTTTAATTATGACTGAATGTAAACTCACTTTAGGGTAAGATACAGGTTGCAGGTATTAGAGAAAAAATAAATCAATAACAAAAAAGACAAACAGAAAAAATTGAAATGAGATAAAAGTAGGCACAGCACATAAAACTGGAGAGGTCATCACAGGTATCACCAAACCACAACTTGAATTTAAGATTTTTATGGCCTCTAGCAAAACTTGCTTTGTCAAATTTATTATTACAGCTAAAAACAATTTTGCATTGCTCTGATTAGTAATTATAGAGTAGAATACTCTTAAAAGGGATCTGTAGGGTAGCTCAGAGAGCAAACACCCACTAACAACTGAGAAGGAATTCATTTCAAACTGTTAAAAGTCACAGATTTAGTATTAGCTGAAATACAGATGCATAATTATTACCTGGTTCCTTACAAAACTTGTATGTATGAGAGTTGAAATACACATTTCCCTTCGTAGCAAATAATCTGTTTTGTTATCTGGTTAGTATCAAGGTACATTTATGTCAATTACTCTGCTTTGTAAATAACCCATCTGAGTGCTTTATCATTCAAATGGAAATGTTTTAAACTCAATTTTAATGGTTCCAACATAAGACAGCTGCTAGACTGTGCAGAACCAGAGTAGTCCAAATGTGAATAAACAACTTCCCAAATACATTCCATGAAATTAAAGAGATCTACAAGGAGAGAGACATCTCTACTTAGGCACTTGTCATGTGAGACATCATTTGTTATTAATTAACATTTACTCTTCTTTGGTCTCTGATGCTTCAGTCAGCTGCCATCTCCAGGCATGGGGCCACAGGCTACCCAGTGTTGCTGCTCTGATCCAGTCTTGTGCTGGCATTTACTTGATTTTTTAGGCACCCAACGCAGCCACAAGACAGGTCTGGGTGGAGCTGTTCTGGGAATCCTAAATACCACGTTAAAATTTTGCATTTTTGCCTCTCTACAGAAGAAACACACCTTCCTTTAAACAGCAACTCTTGCATAACTCATTTCTTTCCACATTTCTATTTAATACCTCCCAGTCAATGCAGTATAGCCTCATTTTACAAAATTATATGCATTATTATTCTAAGCTATCAGAATCATGTTATTTCAGTTCTCACAGCCCTCGCATCAGGATGGCTCCATCTTGTGTAGGGTGACATGGACGTACTGGAAAGAGTCCAGCAAATGGCTGCAAAGATAATCAAGGGGCTGCAGCATCTCTGCTATGAGGAGAGGCTGTGAGAGCTGGAACTGCTCAACCTGAAGAAGACTCAGAGGGATCTCATCAATGTGTACAGAGACCTGCAGGGAGAGTGCAAGGAGGGCAGAGCCAAACTCTTTTCAGTGGTGTACACTGCCAGGACAAGAGGCAATAGGCAAAATCTGGCACACATGAGGTTCTCTTTGAACATCAGGAAATGCTTCTTGACTAGGTGGGCACTGGCACAGGTTGCTCAGAGAGGCTATGGGGTCTCCTCCTGGGAGATCTTTAAAACATTCCTGGACATGGGCCTGGCAGCCTGCTCTGAGTTGGAGCAGATGGGCCCAGAAGTCTCTGCCAATCTCAATCACTCTGTGATTCTGCCACAGGAATTATGACAATTGCCCAGCAAGATCAATATTTTCTTTTCTTTGCTTGGCATCTCCACGGTCGGCTAACAGGCTGTCTACCTTATGGCAGTGAACTCCAGCAAGGATGCCTGATTAGAAGCACTCTGTGCTGGTGCTGTAAGTTCATAAGTTCTGCTTTAAAAAAAATTGGTTTTGCATGGCAAAAATTTTGCATCCTGTTCCCTAATGAAGAGAAAAGATATAGAACCACTCATCCTAAATTCTTTTTGTCAGTGTTGGGCTTTGCAACACTATTTTTCACTCTAACAATACTTCCTGTTTCAGTGAAAGAGACCAACAGATCACTGAAGTATCAGACTAGCAGCAGACTACATATATTGACTCAAAAATGATATAAAAGGACCTTCTGTAAATGTCTGCTTCCCCCTACATCACACTGGTATTTTGGTTCTTTTTCCAGAGGTAAAATACCTCCTCCCTCCTTGTTCTGCCTATTTCTGTTTCAGGAAACTCATGCTGACGTGAACCATGTTTTCTCCCATCTGCTGCCACTACTGAATAAATGAAAAATGACAGAATTATACTTCCGGTAGCTTTGAAAGTTAACAACCTTACGCCCATTGCCATATGGCTTCTCCAAACATTTTTTCCTGATGAATATCAGCTACTAGCACCGGGCTTATTTCAATCTCCTTCATACTGTGAATGAGTTAAAACTAACCATAAGAACACAATTCAAGAAAGCTGAGAAGAGCAGCAGCTCATTTTGCCTCCTTCTCTGAATCGACATAAAGGCAAGATAATGTGTTAATTATCATTCATTATTTAGCAACAGAAGCCTTCTGTTTGTCAACCGCTCACTGCTACCAAAGCCAAACATTCCAACAAATGCTCTACTTCTCTGAGCCTTTTATCTTCATTTTTCGCATTTTTAATTTTGCAGCTTTCATTTCCAAAGAAGGGCTGTATCCTTATCTTCACTTTCCAGAAAAGAGCTTGAGGCAAAAAAGAAGGTTTAGAAGATGAAAACTTATACTTATGTTACAACCACGCACAAAAGACTACATTACATGATAGCTACACCTGTACCTTTTCCAGCTGTTCCAGAATTGTCCCTAGAATTTCACTAGAGAAAAATCTCTACAGCAAATCATTAAACATTGCCAAAGTCACAAAAACTGCAAATGCAGTAAATTTTCTTTAGAAAGAAATGCATTAAATAACCTAGAGATGGTTGGAATTCTTAAACCCCCTGCAGCTCTCCATAAATGCTCCCAGCTTGACCTACAGCAGTCCATTTTCTTCAAAAGAATTAAATTTTAGTGATGTGGCCTAGTTTAGGCCAACAATTAACTCCAGTAATTACCACTTTAATTTCATAGGCTACTAAAGGTTTTTTTTTTTTTTTTTTTTTTTTTTTTTAATAAAGGTAATCCAAAGTTCTTCTCTTTCTGTTTGATTTTAGACACAGCAGTTAAACTTGATGGGCTCAGGAATAGCATGGAATGGGGAGATACAACCAGGATTTCAATGAGCATTTCTAATCTGAATCTTCTATATCTCTTTCTGGAATAGGGGCAGTGGGAACTTCCAGATGATAACATATGAAAGGGCTAACAGATATGAATGCACTGGATCTACAAATGTATGCCTCATTAAATGCTCTTATGGAGCTTGGCTAGTACAGCCTCTACACACATCATTTGTAGTTGGCTTATTAGCAGCCTCACAGAGCACAATGAAACTGTGGGACCTGAGAGCATTGTTCAGTTTAAAGGCACATATCCTGACTACACACTGGGGTGAGCCCTCGAAGTTTCCATTGGAAAGAAACCTGCACAGAGCAAACCTCAGCTGCCCCACTGCCAGCACTCAGAATGCAATGCCCAAGCACTTCTGCTGAGTGATGGGTGTCTTAGGGCTTCTCCAGCACACAATAATACTGCATGCTGTTAGTTCATATGGCATTATATCTTCCAGTTTCTATAATAAATCCAAGTAAAAATAGTAAAAAATACTATCTGCCATTCTGTGTGGAAGTAAAAAATACTTAGTAAAAAAGCTAGGAAAGAAAATGCAAAATTAGGACATCATTATGCTCCAACATGCTACCATCGTTTTTTTTTTTCAGCCTGTACACCTGCCAGTACTAAGTAAAAAAAATACAGTATTCTTTCCATTATCAAAATATAAGTAAAATGTTATTTATATTTGTTTATTCATAAAATGGTCTACATCAGCAGGATTGTGTATCATAAATCAAAGCAACTGTGCGATTATTTGAGAATAAGTAATTGAAAATGAGTTCCTAGGTCAACTTGTCAGGAGTTGATTGCAGACTGTGCTAGACTCTGTGGTGACAGTGCTGCCACTCATTTACAGGTGTGAGTGTCAGTTGTGGCCTAGCAGATGAGTCTAAGATGGAAAAGTATATAGAAATGTGCATATAAAAAAGCAATTGCTTTGAAGATCACATTTGAGTCAGACTGAGTTTTAGATAAAGATGGAAGTTTTACCTTTAGAGAAAAATAACTTTGTGTGAGAACGTGTCCTGTTACTGAATGCTCTGTATGTGAAAATGTTTACTGATTCAAGGAGAAAGACAATACAATGAAGTAGAAGGTAAAAGTAACCTCCTTGCTATTTCCTTTTTGGCACTCGCCAAGGATACACTGCAATGCAGATAATCAACTCTTACATAATGGAAGGACAATGAGAATAATCAACTGATATGGGATTATTCGCCTCCAGTTTTGAGAACTGTTTGTAGGAAATCAACCTCAGAAGTAGATTTAAAAATCTGAAAGAAGAACTACTCTCTCCAAACAATGCAAACATTTTGACTTCAATATCTGTATGTGGAGTATAATGCTACAATAAAAGAATTGATGCAAATAACCACGGTTCCATATGAACCAGAAAACTTGGATCTCACTGCTTAAGGCCAGACCATCTCAGCAAGAACTAAGTTGTGTTTCTGACAGAACTCATCTTTTTTTACAGGGTGAGTGTGCAGTAAGTGGAGTGTCTCATGCAGTGTCAGCCATGCTGAAGAGAAATGTAAGACTAATTCCATCAGCGAACTGTTTGAAATATCTTTATCTTACCTGTCGTCCTGAGATCAACTGTTGCTTTGTCATAACAGGTCCCTTTAGGATATCACCAGTCCCTTTGTTCTGACTGTTGGAGCAGTAATGGTCATCTGCAATTGTGATTTGCTCGTTTTCTTCAGCTTCCAGTTGGCTCTGATTGAAACGCAGGGAACCCTTCAGAATATCTTTGATCTGTTGTTGAATGGGAGAGGAAAGACTGTAAGATAGAAGTCTTGAGGAATTCTGAATTTTTTAAAGCTCTCAAACACTATTTCCCCATAACCATTGCTTTGATGATAGGAAATAAGTCAGTCTTAATAGCTATATAGGCTAAAGATGTAAAGATGTAAATATAATTGCAATGTTGTTGTTACAGAATCTGGAAAACAAATCTAAAGAGAATGAAACTGCTCATATTTCCTCTTATAGATTTAGCATGTCACACCATTCCTGATAAAATGAATTTCCAGGGAGCATAGTATATAGTAAAATCAGAGCTTCAGATGCTCATTAGCATTCTTATTTTATATATGTAGCATTTTTTCTTTAGATTGAATGACACTCGAGTGGCAACTCAATAAAATAATGGGGACATAAATACGATTATTACACAGCATGCACATGCCGTGCTAAGAAAAATGCTGAAGTTGGAACTGCATTGCCTCAGCTCTTGTTCAAGGCCTTTCCAGAACAATTCAGGCAGCAGACACTGTGCAAGTCATTTGAACTCCTTATAGCTCAGTTTTACTTTCTAAATAAAAGTGCTTGGCAATACTTGATGCATTAGTATTAGTAAAACAGCTATAACAGAAAATAAAACATCAGTATACAAAGACATTTAAACAAGGGGAAAAAAGAGGATTAATAGTGCAGAGGGATTACAAGGTTAAGTTATGCAATCATTATACCTGCTTCAAACCAGCCAAGGAAACCAGAATTTCATCTTCTTTTTCCAAGTGTTCTTGTAATATGACTTCCTGAATATTTCCTGCAACACCAAAACAAAAAAAAAAGGTAAAGAGAGAATATTCCCTAAATAACCTCTAATATGCTGCCAACTTACCACTGATTTACATCCTCACAGTGAAACCCTGTGACCTGCAAACACAATTTCAGACAGACCTGGAGGCTGACAACCTTATTAGCTCTGGAAGTGGGGCCAGCAAAACACATCAGTGCTGCCAGGCTCCTGCTGGCTCCTGCACTTCTGCTAGACCTCTACTGCACCAAGGTACTGATGGGCTCATTGCTTGTGGACTCTAGAATAAAACATTGGCCTCTGTGGCCAATGGAATAACTACCATCTTTGAGCAAGAAGTCAGCAATTTTCATTTAGATCGTGGCCACTGCAAACACTGGAACAGTCTTTTTCTCTATAACACGACTCAAAGTTTCACCCTTTCTCCAGTCCTTTCCTTTAGTTGAAAAACTCAGGGCTGAGCAAAATTTATGAGGCAGAAGGAGATGTGCAATACTGTCATTTCAGAAGACACCTGTCTTCTATTTCTACAGCGGTCCTCCAAGGACGTATTTCAAGAAGCTGGTATATGGTGTGTGCCATATACACCAGAGATGGAACTGCAGTGGTTTTCCCCACACCAGGGAAGTTCTACACAATCCTGACTTGCTGTCCAAACCAGCCTCAAGAACTATGCAAACTCTGCATCTATGGCAGGTCCTTCCCCAGCCTCCTAACTGCTCCTTTTCTCCTCAAGCCTTAAACACCAGTGAATCTTAATAACCCATTTGCAACGTGAGATAGTATCTGTCAACAAAAGGACACTATTTTGTGCCACTGATGTCTTACACAGGTAGAGCTAAGCCCAAATCCTTCAGTGACGTCCATCTGGGAACAAAGATTTGCTGCTCATAAATATCTGTAACCTAGCTGCTAAACAACTAGAGCTTTGTGTCATTATGTACACGCATTTCATTTGTTTGTTATTAAAACTATCTTACAGGTTCAAGGCCCCAGCCAGTGGAAAGCCAACAACAACACTGACAAGGATAAATATGAAGATACTGACAACTTAGCGTGTTAGGTTTCAAGTTAAAAACATTGTGCAATATGGCTTAAGTTTTGTGTTTACAGAAGAAACAGCAAAAGAATGAGATGTGGGAGACTGGACTAAATGAGAGTGTAAAGGTAGAAATATGGATTTAAAACTCACCTATAAATAAGTTTGAAATTGTGGCCAGAAATTAGTAGTAGGTATAAATGATGAACAGGAAGGACAGTGAAGGGAAAAGATCCAAACCTAAACTATAAAATAACTTGTAGAGAAGCTATCTGCGAAGCAGAAGGAATAAAAGAGCTGTGGAAGGCAACAGCAGATGAGTTCTTGAAAGGCAATATGATCAAGGTCAAGAGCAATGATGGGCTAGGATGACTCAGCTTTGCATAGAGCGCATCTGAACAAGGAGATGCAAGTTTACACTACTTAGCACTTATTATTTATCATACAACAGGAGAAGATTCCAGCAGCAATGAAATCAAACAGTGCAATTGAACAAAGTCTGGTATGAATCTTACATCAGAAAGATTGCATTATCAAGGCTAATGTGAAATTAGATCTTTCCTCATACATAGCATCGTGAATTGAGAGAAAGCATAAAAAAACAACGTTGCTTTCTCTTTTAATATCTCTTACACATAAATAGTCCTATCCTTCAACTTGGTAAATAAAATACGTAAACATTTACTTATAAAATTACACTTTAGATAGTGATTTTACACTGTTTAATAAACAGTAACGATTTTCCACTTTTAAAAGATTCAGAACTTTAAAAATCAGAAGTCTAAAGTCCAAGTCTTCATAGGCAGGAAAATAACACATAATCACAACCTGAATTCAACTGTCTTTTCCATTTCTCAGCATTGGAAATAAAAACATATCTGTAGTGTCCGATCCCCTACATAAATTACAAACATGCATTAGCAATTAAGGTAGGCATAATGACTGAGCAGATGGACGAGGAAAATAGTTCAAGACAAGCATCAAACCTAAAGATAAACGTGGGAGATCTAAAAACAATGGGGAAAATAAAGGAGTGAGAGTAAATGTTGACCTTCCTAATGATGTGGAAATAATCTATTATTATTTCTGTTCTTTACAGATGTTTATAAGTCAGCATTAAAAAAAAAAAAAAAGAGTATCTATAACTGCAACCAAAATCAGCTTTTTCTGTGAAAAAATGTATTGAGATTTTTAAGGATTTATGAATGGAATGATGAATGTCAGCAGTAAAAATCAATACAAGTATTCATATAGTCACATATTTACTTTAGGAAGATTAATGCCAGATTTTAGTATTAGTGTCAGAGAAAAAAAGATTGAGAGAAAAGTTTGTAAACACTTCGAAGTTGTCTAATAAAGAATTGTTGCATTTCAAACATTTCTCCTTGAATTTTCAAGTACAAGATGACATATGTTTTGGATAAAGAGGGCCTATTGTTGTTGTTGTTATTATTATTATTATTATTATTACTATCATCATTTTTTAACCAGTTAAAAATATTAGAATGTATTTTGGAAGAATGCCCACTGTGAATTTGTTGAAGAACACTTCTGGGCACTTTTCTACTTAGCACAGAAAAAAGTCCAAACGTGCAAATCACTGTAATCAGCCACTTTTCCCCCTGGTAATAGTAGTGACATAAGCTCATAATTCGGAGCTACAGTGAAATAGAATGAAGGCTTCCCTGTGGAACTGGCAATGGATTTTTCTTCTTCTGAATATGCCCTTGAACTGCACACAGCTTCCTATTTACTACGCTCATCCCTTTTGAATGCTGTTTATTATTTATCAAATAAGTGCTAAGTATGGAGACCAAATTGATCAGTGCTCACTCATTTTCCCTGGCTAATGAGTAAAGGAGTATAATATAAAATTTTTAGAGGAAAGAAGCATAAAGGCAATGTGACTGTGCATGAATGAGTGCCTCTTCAGTCACATTCTCCTGTTGTGACCACCCTTTGCAATCCAGTTTTGTTGAAGCACCTGTATGAGTGACAGGAAGCATGACATTTGTTATGATATTGTTCCTCTCCTCAGAAGTCAGCAACATTATGCACTGTAATGGTGGTCCTCCATCAAGACTCACAAGCAAAGAAATGCTTTTTTATGTAATTCGTGAGAATACATTTTGAAAACTTATTATCAAATGAGAAGATTCATTGCATTTTGATAGTTAACTGACCAGCTAATAACTACTTCCTTAGGGATATTATGCCTTGATATATATTAAAGACAATTGTAACTACAGAGGAATAATATGCAGATGATTGCATTTTTGTCCTTTTCCACAAAATATAGAGAGTATTGAGTGTTAAGGTTGCAACAGGCTAGTTGAAACAACTGAAGAGTTAAGATGAAATAGTTTCCATTTCCCGCTCTTACATTTTTCTCAAATTGTAAATAACTTCACGTGCAAACTCACTGTAGTACTTCTTTTGAGAAGCAAGATTTCTATTTCCTCTCCCTAAGTTCTAAAATTTAAACTGTATATATACTATAATTTGCTGTACCAAGTTGAAAGGAGGAAGATAATCCACATCAGCCCCTAGCAGTAATATTAGAGAAGGCTTATGCTCTTTGATGACTGAACTGCTGCATATTGCATGATGGTGAGTACAGTAACTGCTGAGCTCCTCATCCAGGGAAAGGGGCTGTTCAAAAGCTATTACATTTAAAGACCAAATTTTCTCTTTGAAGGTGGAAAAGCTGGTATGTTTGGCCTAATTATTTTAGGTGCTCATTAAATAAACTAATGGTCACTGAAAAATAAGCATGCCTTCAATGCAGATACTGCAAGAAACACAGAGTGGTGCTAAATGAGGACAAATAGTAGCAGCAGTGGGAAAACTAGCTTGTTGTATGCAAGGTTGTCTCAGGCATCCATCCCCTCACGGCTACTTGTGTGAAAGACAAATCTGCACCTCTTCATTTCCAACAGGGAGGTGGGAATTACACAGGCCTACAGTCCTGCAGGATCAAGGCATAACCTGGACTTAACTTTCTACTGACACAGATCATGCATAGGAGAAGACTGAATCTGGCAATAACCTTATCACTGTCACTCTTAGGTTCTTTGCTTTCTCCTATTTCATTGTCTTGTTGCAGTGAATTTCTCTCCAAATTTCCAGTTTAACCCAGGCTCTGAGTGACCTTCCCAGGAAGGTGCCTTCTGCTGAGAGGAGCTAACTACAAAGAGCTGCAAACTACATTATGAATGATACCTTTCTATTAGTAGTAAATGATCAGTGATTTGTGAACAATCAACAGTGCTAGAATAATGTTAAGCCTGTTTTTCATCCTTCATTCAAAGCCACAATGCAAAAAGGCATTCTCGTTGCCAACGTCATCATCAGTAAGGGAAAAGATGTGTACCACTTCAGCACTGTGATATTCCTAATGAAAAGAAAAACAAACCCCAAATTCACACAGATATCAAGGCCTGCAGAAAACTCTTGTGTTCCAGTTCTTTTGTATCATTTTTGCAGCAAAGTGAGAGTTAATATGAAATGTTTCCAAAATTTCCAACATTATACTAGTAATAGCAAGTCATCTTTTTTTCACTACCATTAAAAAGCTTGAGGGATGGACTAACATTTAGCTTCTGATAATATTTTGTTCTGTTTTTGCTGCAAATACTTTATTTCTACCAGAAGTGTTATGGACTTCCAGGAGAAAAATCCATTCTTTCAAATCTTGTTTAACATACACATTGTGTTTATGCCAGTGCTGAAGTATTCAAAGACAACAGCGTATACACAGACACCCTGTGATTCCAAAGAGAACACAGAAAAAGCATGGATGCTGTGCCTCCCATGACATATGACAGAGCATGCTCTTGATATACAGAAATGATTTTTTAAAGAAATTTTGGCCCTGATGGTGGTGAGACCCTGTACTATCCCACACTACTTACATTCTTGATCACTGTTGAGACAAATGACATCTGCATGTCTCACATGCATCTTTCTT